TTGAAAAGCAATAGCGCACATCGCTTAACCAGACAAGCATAAAATTAGCAAAAAGAATTCGGTGCAAATGTTTAAAATAAGCATTCAGATTATATTTCCCTTTATACATGATTTCTGAAGGGTTAACAGTTCAGTTTTTTCCTATTCTGAAACCAAGTTGATCAGAATCAGTTGAAAAGAAAGTTGAATAAGCTATTGCCTCTTTGTCCTGGAATTTAGCTTTCAGCAATGCTCTTCTTGGAGCTCTTGTTTGACTTGAAGTTAGGCAGAATTTGCCAGAGTGGAAGCAAAGTTGTTTTTTTTTTCCATTGTCTAGAATGCTTCAAATATATTCAAGCTCTACAGAACATTCTGGCCATCTGCTGTAGGTGTCTGCAAACTGGGGTCATAGTTAATACTTACAGAAGTAAACACTCACGATGTTAAAAATCCTGCCAATTATTACTTTTTACAAGTATTGCAGCAAAGAGGTAATATTAATGGTAGTTTGATAAACAGGTATCTAACTTAAAAACATCAGACTGCATCTGATACAGATCACATGAGGGCTCATTAGCATCACTTTCTGTATGTCAGCTCAGGTTGACAAGTTGAAATCGCTCCACAGGAAGTGTCTCTTACATGAATAGAGAAAATAATAATTAGGTCTATTTTTGTTTTTTACCTAGAGAATTACCCAGGTTTTGGTTTAGTTCTTAATACAAGACATAGATGCCATTTTATACATGGTTTTAAGGTTTCCAATCTCTTAGAACAAAAGAAGTAAAATAATGCAGCTTCCCCACCTGTACTTCTGAACACACATGCTGCCTCAAGCTTTGTAAGAGTCACACTGTTCACTCAACCAGAGCTAGGTAGCATCTTTTGGACAGTAAGTCAGACTTGACCTACTGTTTGGACAAAACCATGTAAATCAAGCTCAATGAAATTACTTCAAAAAATTAAATGTCCTAAAATTAATGTTTTTAATTTTGAATGATTCTATGTTTGAACATTGGACTTCTGAATTTACTAGATTTTGGGAAAGAAAGGAAAAAATTGCATACAATTGCATATTTTGCTATGCAGCTTCTAAAGCTTATGGACACTAAAATCACATACTCTGACAAAAAAAAAAAGAGTACAAAAAAAACCCCAAACAATTCATACAAAATCAAGTAAATATTTAAGATTTGCTCAAGGATGCTGTTGTCTGACCTTGTGAAATACTTAGGCAGGTGCTTAATTTTAAGCATGTGAGTCATTGTGCCAAGAGAGGTTTTATGGTGAACACTAATGCACAAATATTAGACTGGCTCTTCCACTTCAAGATAAGCATGGACGTAAGTGCTTTGCTGGATATGGATCAGGATGCTCAGCACCTAACAGGACTTTAGGCACTGATCCAGCAAAGCACTTATCCACACGAACAACACTGCGGACTTTAACATCACTGCTCATGTGCTTAACATTAGGCATGCTCGTAAGTGCTTTCCTGGAAGGGCCCAACAGACCAATAGTGTATAAGCTATAAAATTTGAAGCAGTGTATGTTTAACACGCCGCATATTTAACAATGTTAATCTGCTGAGATTTGCTTTTTCTTGGAACAGGGCTTGTCTAACTTCAAGCATTTATTTTCAGAAAGTGTGTAAAAAATGCCTTTAAAAGCTGCTCTGAGATTATGGCAAGTTAAAATAATATTAGAGAGTCTCCTTATGCTCCTTTCATTTCTTCTTTGCATGTCTTTGCCCAGGCATCTAAAAAGGGAAGAGAAAACCCTAGTCATAAACATTAATCTATTCAAATGAACATCCACGCGTTTAATTTCCCTGTAAAAAACAGGTCAGACACAACTGAACACCTGAAAACAAGCAGTTCTTCCAGGTTTCAGATCTGAATGCAAATTCTGCCAAGTGTGTTGCCTTTTACACTGAAAATATTAAAATCACCAATTGTCACTTCTACAAATAGAACTAAGTTTATTACTTAAGACTGAAAATGATGTGCAAGTTCAACCCTTAACGTATCCCTAAGTCAGTGCTGGTATTTCCATATGAAATTTTCCATGCCCACTGGTGTCAATCCATTTGCAGTGTGAAGTCTAAAAAGTGGAAATTAAGAGTTGCTTAATCCCAAACCAACAATCATAAAAGCATCACAACTCATCAGATACTTACATGAACATGGAGAGATATCATATTAATCCAGAAAAAGAAATAAAGACCACATTTCTGTAATGGTGCTGGCACATTGTTTTATATGAAGCTAACCAAGGAAGAAATAGCAAAGCAGCACTTCTTAATGACCTACTGCTACTGCTGGCCAGGCACAATAACTGTATTTAAATCCTCATGGTAGGAAATATTGTTTTATGTATTTGGCACCATATGCTCTTCATAACTTCTTACTGCTACATGTTGAGGAAGTTTCGAAGTTACTAAATGTATTTCATTCTTTCCTAAAGGGAAAAGAGTTTTTGTTTTCATCTGAAAGCTCTAATGGCTTTTGGAAATGGCTTATTTTTTTTGTCATGCACAAATTCCCACTCAACCAAAAGCACAGTCACTAATAAAATTACAGTTGTTGTAAGTTACAGCATAGCTGACAGCTGAAGTCGAGATGTGACACACTAAAGCATAACACACCTATGCACAGAGGAAGAGCTCTAGACTTAGTCCCTGAGTGCAGCGGCAGATGTGAAAGTCATGTACAGAGAAAGCAAAAAAAGAATCGGTACCCCAGACAGAAGTCAGCACAAACCCCTCCCATCCCTATCAGAACTGTCTTCCTGTCCTACATTCTGACCAGACAAATGGGGACTGTTTCTTAGAAGAAAGGGTCTCAAACTGTTCAGTCAATGAAAACATGCATTTCCAAAGTATGTTTCACGAAACTTTTCAACTATTAAAACCCAAACCCCTAAAATCAGCAGATTTAAACATCCAGAAGATACTCTATCATATATCCATCCTACTCACAGTTCCTGTTTCTAGTGCAATTCTCTCCCACTCTTGGTATTCCACTCAAACATCCATCCCATGCTTGTCTGCTTTCTCAACATTTTCTAGTGCCCAGAATTGGCCTGCCATTAATAGATACGTAATTCCTTTCCTCTCATTTATCAAAACACTCCTAGGATGCTGCTTACTACAAAAACCTTCACACAGTATGTGCCTGGTTGCCTTCTTTTTCCCCTCCATAACATTATCCTGCACTTTTGACTGGTGGTTTTCAAAAGTTGTCATCATTGGCGCATCACTTCTTCTACTGATATGAAGTTGGACAGTTTCTTTGACTGTTGAACAAATTGCTGGGTTAAGCTGAATGTTTTTCAAAATCTAACCCTTTCAGTTCATGACTGCAATTGCTCATTCTGGGCTCACCAAATGCTAGTTCTTTTCAATCATAGCAAAGACCCATCAGATAAACCAATATATGCTGCTACAGGGCGGGTCTTCTCTTACAGCCTAGACCAATTCCAAAGGTGGTGCACATAGAAACTGTCGAATGCAGTGACACCTACTATTAACTTTTAAAATTGCCTGACAGTTAAAGGAGATGAAAAAAGGGGGAAACTTTCCCGACAGGGCTGGTGAAATTCTGCTGAAGACAGCTGAACAAGGCAGCATGGGGTAGCAGGAATTTCTCTATGGCTCCACATATCAATTCCTGGGGGTTTTGTGTTCCCTATCTCTTCCGACACCCTAATATTGTGTCAGAAAGTTGACATTTGTGACTTTTATTTTATTAAATAAATTTTATTAAAGCGCCAAATGATTTGGGAGAATGATTCTAATCGAAAAATTGAGTCTCTACATCTGAGTCATCCATTTCTCAACTTACATTCAAACACTAATACTACAGGCTGATTTTCAGAGGTAATCAGATACTTCAGAGGTAATACTGATACTTCAAAATGCCTGAAAAGCTTTTTATTTTTCCCTAAATAACTTCATTTTGGGTCTAGATAACCCACTTCAAACACTTTTAAAACTAGGAACATTAACAGTACGCTTTCGGGAAGCTATCCACATTGGTTAGATAAACCTCTGTGATCTGAGATAGTAATTCCATAGACTTACAAATATTTTATTTTATCTGGAATTCCAACCGTACTGACTTCTTCGTCTACAAGCTATGTCCAAAACTGAAACAGCCACTGGTCAGAAAAGCACACAAACTCCAACAATGGCAAAACTGCACAGAACATCCAGCAAGGCTTCTCATTCTTTTCTGGTTGAGAGAAAATGACATAGTGCTCTTTAACCTAACAGACAACACTGTAAACCAATAGTTGTGAATGCAGCAAGTAATCTGAAGTGGAAAAACAGTGCAGCTACTAAAGAACTAAATAAACTATTAGCTTCTCTGAAACTTCGTATTATCATGGGAAACAGGCAGATTCTCTACTGAGCTGATGTAGCAAAGAATGAAATAGTCTGAGTGTCTTTTTAAAACACACGCTGTAGTTGACCCACAGTAATGACTCAGTGCAACAACCGGTGGATGAAATGCTGAGTTTTCTGTAGAACTGGCTAGACCTATACTAACAATCCCGGTGATTCCACACTCTTCGATTCTGTGAATCAGAGAACTTGCAACTTCTATCCTTCTGAATATATAAGAATATTCTGCGATACGGAAAGAATACAACCAAAAGTGAGTAGTGTGTTTTAAGTAACAGTCCTACCTTGTGCAAAACTTCATAGAACTAAACCTTATCTAAGGCACTCAAGCTTTAGAATCCAGGTCCAAATAAGCTTGTTTAAGAAAACAAGTTTTGCCTATAAATAAATCTTTTCTTAATTATTTTTGTAAGAACCTACTGACCTTGGAACTGAACATAAAAATACCCCTGTATTGCTATGTGTTAAAGAGATTTATCATGTAAGCCCAAAGTGATTCTGTTAATTCTTTAAGGATTAAAATTTATACACAGGAAAATACCAAAACTCCTTAATAAATGTCCTGAAGCCCAATCTAAATCTTAAAATGTACAACAAATACAAGAAGCACAGATTTGTTACACAAAGCACTTTATTGCATTATATGTCGATTGACATTTATTGCAATTTGGTTTTAGCATATTCAAGCCAACTGGAATCCCAATACAGACACTGTTTTTGCCTCCATAAACTGCCACCAATGACAACGCTTACATCAGCACTTAGATTTGGGTCAACATAAAAACCTAATGATAAAATCCTACTCTGGTGTTATACTAGGTAAAAATCTCCATAAAACCCCCCAAAATAATGTTCCTTATGAATGAAAAAAAAATCCTTAAAAACTCAAAGAAGGGCATATTTCCAGCCTGGAATGGAGTGCAATGGAGAAAACTGTGGTAGCCTTGACTGAGCTTGCTCTAGAACAAGCTGCAGTAAAGTATGCTTAAACCTTGTTTCATGGTTCACAGGACCATGCTGCTAATGAAGCAAGTCTATATTCCTGACCCAAGTTGGAATATCTGCATGGCACTGCTTTGCACAGCTGAGGCATAACAGCTCTGTCCCGCGCTCTCTCACAAACTCCACCATGTACACAGACATGCCCTGCGCATACTATACTAACAAAAACCCCAAGGAGACGTCTTTAGCTTAACATAAAAATAACCACTGTAAAAAACTCTTTCAAGAACAAGCCGTTATTTTGATGCTTTAGGTTTGGAGCTGAAGAAAGCAGAAATTGATTTCATTCCAGTCTTATCAACTTTGGCCAAAGCCTTCTGTGCTGCAGACATCTTGCTGTTTGCCTGTTAGTGAAATGATAAACAGAAAAAGTTAAGCAGCATCTCCATAGGAGAGCTATAAACTCCTAAATACAGAAGTCACCCAAGAAGTTGAACTGCTTTTTCAGTATACAGCAGTAAATATAATGTTGTGCAGGCTTTAAATTGTAAGAAAAAAAACCCTTACAAAACAAATTTGAGATTATTCAAACAGAAAAATACTTGTCACAAATTACTTAACCTCAGACAAACACAGAGAATCAACTACAAGGACAAGGAGGTGAAACATATTTTCTTTCTGCAGAATGAGGTATCCCAACTCAGACATTTACTTTGCGATAATCCCTGAGTGTACATTAAGAGGAATAATGCATGCAATATAACAGATGCATACTGTACCCTCCGACTCAATCTCATGATTATGCTGTCAGCAGGCTGAATTACAGCCTTGCATTACAGATGATGAATAATTCACACTGATTTATTATCAAAGACTCTAAGCACAGTGAAATAAAGGGAAAAGAGATGGAATAAAAGAATGAAGAAGGTAACTAACATTTGCAAAGCACTTTGAGGCCACTGGGACAACTTCCCAGACTTTTACACCTAAAACACATTTTATGAGCACATTTTACAGAGCTGACCTCTTTTCTTTCTTGCGTTTTAAAACGTTATGGTTTAAATCTCTAGCTGTTTTCGCTATTAAGAAAACTTTGCATTGACCTTTCTTTATAATACTCCTCAGTCTGCAGGACTTCACAATTACAATACTTGGGATCAGCTAGAAGATTATGGATAGGATGGAGATATGCAACAGTATGATCGTCTGTGTTACTATACAAACAAAACCACTGCCAAAGTATTTTTAAAAAAGTAGTAAGATGTACAGAGTCCAAGAGCTATCTTTTCTTTCCCAGATTCTCTCATCAATGTGCTTCATTATTTCAGAAGTAAATTATATTTAATGTTACAATGCATTATCTCTCCTCAGCTTATTTCTGTCTTTACGCTCAGTTCAACAGCGATAGGTGCATAATGGGGGAAGAGGGGAAACATGCATATTTTAGACTATTTACCACCTTCACTTAGAGGGCACTCCTCCTCTTACTTCAAAACTAGCATGTGCCCTGAGTACAAAAAATTCGGGGTTGTTGTGGGGGAAGGAAGAAATGTATCTGTCACCAGCTGCTTCTCTTTGCAGAGGGATAAAGAGTAGTCAGCATTAGTCTGAAGGTCACAAGACGAGCACAGAGGGCCTTTTTGGTTCCCAATGGATTGGAGAAGGATTCATTTTCTTTCAGTAATCAGAGAAATAAGCCAGTGCAAGCCTCACAACCTTGGCACACACAGAGAGAATCTTTCTTTTCACATCTCTGTTCTCTCCTAGGAATAATACAGTGGCAGGCACCACTGGACTCAAATCTGAATTGGCCTACAAACTTGTGCCGAAGCTGGCAATCAGCAAGCTCTGTGTGGATTTAACTTCATTACGTTGACATAAGTAAGTGCACAAGCAATATTTCTAGGTAAAAATAACGCCTGTTTTAGCATCCCTTGGAATTTAAGTGAATGCTGCCATCTTTGTTTCTTTTTCAAATTACTGAAATTTAACAGCTGCTATCACTAAGCCACAAGGTTTCTCATTTCAAGTTCTCAAAGAGCTTTGCAAATGTTAGCTGTGCACCTTAGCACATGTGCCCAAGTCTGTGAGGTTCACTGGAATGTTCACTGATAAAGTACAGTCAAACCGTAACAGTATAGAAGAGTTCAGAAAGGGACACGAAGACTATCAAAGTAAAATTAAACCTGAATGAAAAGTTCCAAGGAGATATAATTACAAACATCTGTGCTTTGTATTTGTTTTTCTGACGTGTTTCAGAGGAGAAAAATAGGCATGCTATGCCAATGTTGGAAGTTAATCTACGCTTTAGCAAAACATGCATGAATGCAAGGCTTGCTCACCTTTTTGGTTTTCAGATTGCTGCTGTTAGTACAGTCTTCTTCTGCTTCCACAGGGGCATCTGTTAATTTCCTTTTCTGAAACGTTAGAGTGAGGAAGCTGCTGTGTCAACCACTTTTATGATGTACACACATGGAAGTTTAAATTTTTTGGCTTTATAATGTAATCATAGCACCAAAATAGGACTAGCAATCAACTGAAGAACCTTCAGTAACAGTAGAAGATTTCTCTTTGCAGTTGTCTTCTTTATATGTGAATATACACCATCTCTACAGTATTCAGAAGACATCATTCAATGTCATGGGAAGCATTTTCTTCTTCATGGACTTCTGAAGAAAGACTTCTAGAAATCACCTGAATCCCATTTTTTACTTCCATGATTGTGATTTTGGTGTCAGAATCTATTTAGACAACCTTTAGGAAGCAGCTGTTGGAAGTTCATGCCTAACAGCCAGGGAACCTAGGCTCCAGTCCCCATGGTCTGATGGAACAGGACAGCAGCTCCAGTGTTACTGCTATCTGCCAGCACAGGTGGATCATTATCTAGTCTATTATCTGCTTGTGCACAACCTTTAGAAGTAATTAGTTTCTGCAGTTTGGCAGCAGTGAAACACTGACATAGTTCTGCTGACTGCTTCAACACTTGAATCCAACAGTATATTAAGAAGCTTGACTGCATGTGCTGGGTGCTTCTAACTTCAAAAATAATGGAAGTGAATGGTTCTCGGCACTTCACATAATCAGGCAGTAAGAATGAATATTTCTTTCCATAAACTGTGAGCATGTGTTTAGTTTAAAGGTGAAAACTTCCTGGTATGTTTCCAGAAGGGAAAAAAAGTATATAGTATTTTACAACACTATTTTCATTATTATTATATATCTGATATTACTACCATGTTCTTAATATCCTGTGAAATCTAAACTGTGGCCTTCCTAATTCTTGTGCCAAAGAGAGTGATTTTGCAAGCAACTTGGACGGTACCATACATTTTAAGATCCTGTTTTATTCATTTTGTTTATGGTGCTTGCAATCTTTCTCTCTCTCTCTCTCCCCCCTCCCTCTCTGCCTTTGGCACAGAAGCCAGGTCTGCAGCTTAGATTTCTCAGCTGTTAGAACCACATCCAACAGCAGCCTTTTCTTTTGATTTCAATGGGATCTGGATCAGCCTCTCTAGGGGGCTGTTTACTGTGCTATGATTACATTTTCAAATGACAATCTAACGAATAATTACTATTCTTCCCTTTTTGGAATCTGATAAACAAGTTTTTAAAACTTACAACAAAATGGTTGTGTTCCAGCAAAATGTTTGCTGTTTAGCTGTAGCAGAGCCTACATACTCTTTGTAGATGTCTCTCATCATCTGCCAATGGCCAGACTCCCTGTGCTGACACTGGACAGTATGACAATTACAACACAAGATCAATGGCTTACAATTAATACACAGAACATGTAATTTTGGTTTAATCATTAGATCACAGAATCTAGGCTGTACCCTGTTTACTATTACCCAGTACAAGAGAATTTCTTGTAGCTTTTCTGTTAACCTCTGAAGTTTCTAAATCTCTCCTCCCTTAAGAATTTATTTTAACATAATTTCTAAACATGCAATTACTTTACCATAACAGGAAATATATGTTAGACCCTTCTTTATCTACATTAATCCTATACTAGGTCTATCAATACACCTTACTTTCATGAAGAGAAATATCAATGCAAGTGAATAAAAATGGTCTGAAGGAGACTATAGGTTCCAGTGTACAAGCCTGCCTAGCTCCTCTGAGACTCTGAAATAAACACAAGTTTTAATCTCTGAAGTTGCAAAGACTTAAAACACAGAAGCATCACACACACCCTGGTCAGTGCTCTGGATATTAATCAGATCCTCAGCAAGATTTCACTGCCCAACAACCAAACAGTTCTAAGCCTCATTTCCTCTGTAACCAAGCTGCTGAAATAAAGCTATTTTTAAAAATAGATTCTCAGAACTATCCCAATGGTATAAAAGCGATTCATACATAATATGTAATGTACATCACATGTAGTTTAATATAGTTGTTGTAACATGCTTATATGGCTAATGAATATCAGTTGGCTCCTGATGTGCCTTTAATATTTCTTACAATGCATAAAGATAATTCTTAACTGAATCAAAGGGCCAAGTAACTGTGCAGCCAGGACAACTGTCCAACCACATGGAAATAACTTATATCCATTGATATACATTGGAGAACAAATGCTATTAATAACAGTAGGGCCCAATTATTCCTGCATGTGCTAGCTGACATACTGCTTAGCAGAACAGTCACTGAATCAGCCAGAAATGAAGTTATTTTAGACTTTGCTTCAGTAAGTAGCAGGGACATTGCAGGAAAGGTCGGTGTAGTAAGTAATCTAGTTTCAGTAGACATAGGGTGCCTCGGTTTAAATTAAAGAGAAAGGATAATCAAAAGTGGGGTTTTTGATTCTAAAGGGGCACAATTTGCAAACCATATGCCTTACTTCCCTAAGCCAAAGCAAGGGGACTTGATTTCCCCCTTAAGGGAGGCACTTGGAATGTAAGAGAAAATGGAAGTGATTTTGACTCTTTTACTTCAATCCAGGTGAAAAATCTTGGAAAAGCTTCTCAGACTATACTGTATCATAGAATACCAGGTTGGAGGGACTTCAAGGATCATCTGGTCAAACCCTTCTAGGCAAAACATTACCTAGACTAGATACCCAGGCAACCTGTCCTACTGAATCTTAAAAGTATCCAACACTGAAGAATCCATCACTTCCCGGGGAGTTTATTCCAGTGGCTGATTGTTCTCACTACGAAAAACTTTTCTCTTGCATCCAGTCAGATAAGTATCTTGTGCCCATTACCCCCCATCTTTTCCATATGACTCCTTGTAAAAAGGAGTCTCCATCTTCTTTGTAGTCATGCTTTATATATTGGAATATGGCCTTCTATTCTCTAGAAGGCTCTCAGTTCTCTCAGCCTTTCCTCATATAGCAAGCTTCCTAGTCCTTTGATGATACGAATCTTCCCCCTTGCTCATACAGATGCACACATATACTCACACACACCACACCCCAGAAAAAAAAAAAAAAAAAGAAAGGATTTTAGGAGTAAGCAGAATTCTACAATGAATGAGAAAAAAGACTGCCAAAAACCAAAATTTGTTTTACGGGTCAGGTAATATTGGGATTAAGTGAGAACTGCCAAAAAGTCAAGCTGAGTTAGACCTTGGCAAGGAAATTAAAACAAATAGTAGAAGGTTGTTTAGCCACAGAGGCAAAAAGGGAAACAAAAAAGAAAAAGTGAAGCTGCTATACAGTAAGGACTGGATAGATTTTAAAGCTAATCTATGTGTAGCCTCAAAACGGAATAAATCCTTTGCTTCAGTAGATTGTTTTCAGTAGAGATGAAGAGGTTAAACACAAGGGCAGAAAACAGAATAGAAATCACTCTATTCAAGACAGAAGTAAAACTCAATACGCTGACACTGTTGGGAGGCTGCCTCAGAAATCACAAGTCCAGAGCAAAACCTGGCAACTGTTCTATCAAGCAGGGACCATAATGTGGCAGAATAGCCAAACACCCATCTGTACATAAGGAGGAGGAAAAAGTGGTAGTAGGCCTCAGCAGAATGGAGAGAGGGAGAAAAAGTTAAAGAAGGAAGATTAACTGACAATGTAGAATAAATGAAAACTAAACATAGGTAATGCCTACTACCATTTTGTTTCCTTAAAGATAAAATGTTTTCTGGTGACAGAAACGTGAAGGATTGCCAGAGGACTTGACATGGTGGCACTTAAGCAACTGAAATTATAGAAAACAAAGACTGCATAAGAATTTTAAGATAGGTAAGAAACTGGGTAAAAGGGAAATAAAGGCAAATAATGCAGAAAGAGATGGCACTGGATTGGATGGCGATTACTAGCAGAGTGCCACAAGTAATATCTATTCAAAATCTTCATTAATTGTTAAAGATAACAGCATGATTACATTTACTGAATGTACACTATGAGTGCCTAAAGAGCTTTTAACACCATGAAGGAAAAGCCAGAGAACCTTCATGACTAGAAACATTAAAAACAGGCGAAATGCACAGAAGTACAAGGTCACCCACACAGCAGCTAATGGCATGATTTTCTTGTAAATCTGAATGCTGATCAACTGAAAATTGCAGTGGAGAAAAAAAAACCACCTGTGTGTTTTAACCATTTGCAGCAGGATTGTGAGCTATCTAGTATACCACACAGTAATAGAGGCAAATGGGACTCTAAGATGTAATGAGATGAAGTACTTCCAGTTAAGACAAGAAGGGAAGAATGCCATCATATTGTACCAGTAAAGGTTTTATCACAAATAATTACGTATGATTCTGGTCACCTGCTTTGAAACAATTGATTACATCTTGGAATAGGAGTAAAGAAATGTTTCTGCAACAATGAGGGAATAAAAAACCTATCTCACAAACAACCAAGTTTGACTTCACAAAACGAAACTGACGGGATATATGTTTTCCTTTTACGCATTGAGAAAAGATACGTTAGGGAGGGAAAACAGCCGTTTCAATTAAAAAATTAAAAGACAATGCTAGCATGAAAGCTCAAGGGAATAAACTGGCCACGAATAAATTCAAGGTGGAATTTACAGAAAGGTTTCTAAGAATCAGAGGAATGAGGTTATAGAACAGTCTTCCAAGAGAAGTAATGGAAATAAAAAAGTCCTAATGAAACTTAAGACTGAAGAATGGTCAGTGTAGGAGAGATTATCCAACACGGTTTTCTGGAAATCCATGACCCAAGAGATCCCTTTCAGGGTCCTCATAAATTACATATGAAAGAAAGCTATGAAGTCATACTGTCACATTAACCTTAGTAAAACTGAATAAGCAAAACATGTATGAAAAGACTGCTGACCAAAACAAAAGAGAGAGACATAAACTATGTCTTTCTCTTTCCCTCCCCCTTTTTAAACAGGAAAACCAAACAAAATATTTCTTATTAAAAAAAATAAATAAATACATGGTAAGTTTCTTTAGATCAACTTTTCGCAAGGCCAACCTACTTACAGTATTGTACCTAGTGCTTGGCCTAGTGTAGTTCTAATAATAATTCAGAGAAATTAGCTTACAACACAACATATCTGTCAATATCTTAATATTCTCCTACCTTCAAAGGTGGCTCCGCTGCTGGGCTTTTAAGTTCTGGGAGCCTGTAGAACAAAAGATTTTAAGTTATAAATTAAGACAGCTGGACTGAACAACCTAAAGCTTATAATTCCTTCCCCATAAAGTCTGCTTTGGTTATCAGCTACTCACACATGGCATGCATTTGCAAAAAAAAGGAGCTCATGGACTCTATATTAGATAACTAAAACAGAGCCAGGCACCATAATAGAAACATAGGCTCTTTTAAAAGTTCTTAGATCTGGCAAACAAAACAGAACTCCACCTTACTTTTGAAAACCCTGCCTACTAGTAAGATGGTATTGTAAAGCACATAATATCTCTTCCATGAAACAGTTAAGCTATGGGACTTCAAGCTGCAAATTGCACATTTTTCCATAGGCCACTATAACACTATCCTTTGAACAGAGCTGAACTGAGGGACAGGTGCAGGGTCCCAGTGATGCTCCAAGCAAAGGTTGCTGCTGGCAGGGAACACCAGGGTGAGGATGCTGGCTCACCTTACAGATTGAAATATAAACTAACACGGGTTAGATATATGAAGTCAAACCCCAGCAGCACTGAGCAAATAGGGAAAAGGAAAGAAGACTGGGGATGAGGATTCTACCCTTGGCTCTGCTGCTTGTACTTGACAGTTCTGGACAAACTGCTGTAAGTCTTTGGATTTCCTTCCCACTTTGTTTAAAATGAGATACACTGCTCAGGGTTTCATGATACAACTGTAGTAACAGACGTACCAGACTTTTATATCACATCTCTCTTACAGCCCATCATAGGCACAACAGAAAGGCATAATCAACATCTGAAAAAAAACCCACACATTTAAAGCATAGCAAACACAAGCTCATAGTGTTATTCATCGCAACCATGATGAACAAATCCCAGTATTCAACAGCACTGACCAAAGGACATTAATGCACTGCTTATAAAACTAGCAACTAGCTGGAACAATACTTACCTTAAGTATTTTAACAGCTCTTTACTCAGATCTTCAGGAATATATTCTGATATTAACCCATGGGCATAGCGTACATAGTCTTCAGGAACAGGGCAGGGAGTGAAAAGTAGAAGAAAAAGAACATTCACGTTACATAGTCACGTTGCCTTCGCCATGTTGCATGTGCTACCCTAAATCATAAGGTTGAATTAACAGTAAGAGACTTCTAATGGATGCACTGTGACGGTTCTCTGTGTCGAGTAGTTTATGTTATATGACACTAGTAGGTTTATTTAAAAAGTAAAGACTTACTACACTCACTCTGTCAGCACATGTTATTAATATCTGCTGTATGTACTTTACAAAAGCTGTTCGCTTACTGAGCATACTAGATATCATGTATTTTTCTGAAGAAATTAAATTTTAAAAACCTGCAAAAGTAAAAAGCTGACTCAACAGAACACACAATCATTAATTTTAAAGCATCTGGATCTTACAATTATTTGGCAAGGGCTTCGGTACTAAAGTACATTTTCTGGCTTCAACTGAAAACAATTAGATGAGACAATGAGTCTATTTCAAAGTCTTGTACTTAATTTCAGTACTTTACAGAAAATGCCAAGGACTATCTAAACATCACTGGCAAGACGGGATAATTATCTGTGGAAATATGAACTACTAGAAGCTGTTTTCAGTACAGGGCACTCCTGCTATGAACGTTTTTTCTGAGCAACTGGGAAAAAAAAGTGACCCTTTTAAAACATAAAGTCCTAAAACAGATCTTTTCCGGTCACGTTCTGCACAAGTACTGATCACAGGCTGGATCTTTTAAACTTGCTGTTGTTAGCCTGCTAGGAAGTAACAGCACCCATGCATAGGAAGCACTTGCCAGACAAGACATTCAGCCAAAAGCTCACCTCTGAATTTCACCTACAACAGGACAGCTCTATCTGTTCATATGCCTACACACTCGAAGAGTTCAGAAGCATGTGGTAAACTAGCCTCAGGGTGGTGAAGAACTGCTTCTTCTGTGCCAGACAGTTTCCTTTTTTTTTTTTTTTTTTAATACATATAAAAAGCCCAATGCAAACTGTCATTGAAGCAGAAAGAATTAACAAACTGACACCGGTACATGCATGTCAACTATACTGACATCAAAACCTTAGTATTTCCTATCTGCATTTCTACTTCCTCCACTGCTTAGATTTTCATCAAGGATTTATCACTCCCTACACCCACTTTGGGGTCAGGAGAGAACAAGAAATAATGTCAATCCAAGACAGAATTTTACCTCAGCATTTAGTATGTTCAATTTATTGCTTAAGAAAAATATTCCCATCATTTCACTCTTTACATCATGAGACTGAATGGTGAGCCCAAGTCAACTGCTATTATTTTGTACTAAATAAAGAATCCATTCTCTTTACATATCTCCCTTGAAGCAATCTTCACTGACTTCCTCTACCAATAAAAAATACCACTGTCTTCTACAGAGTTTGTGTTCTCACCCTAGTCTTCTTTTGTTATTAACCTCCTGTCAAACATCAGGAATACTTGTGTATCTCCCTTCTTTGTCTTCTGAATGAAATATTCAGGTCTCATATGTTAAACCTCCCCTCCTTCCCCATTAGGACTCATTATATTCTCCGAGATTTTTGCCCTACAATGTCTGCAGATGCTAACTACATACACCCATCTATTTATAAGGTACTGAAATTTTGTAATACCCCTATGAAAGCAATCTCTACAGAAATAAATTGCACTGTCATGGCAGTGAAAGGATCAGACAAGAAAATCAGTCTGATTAAAAATAAGTGCTGAGTAAGGTCCACTTGACTTCCTGTCATTCACCTTGCCACATACAGAGGGGCTGCCCCCAAAACTTACCTACTTTTAACTGCTAGTATTCACTATTTCAGTGCTGCTCTTTAGATTTAAAATCTGAAAAAGGCTTTTAAAAAGACTGTTATATCCAGGTATGGAAAAAACACTGCAGATAATCTAATTACAAATTTCAGAGATAAAGTAATTTAAGCATAGTCAAGATGGCTGCTGTTAGGGTGATTTTCCCTTTCTTTAAAAAAATGGGGGGGGGAAAGGATGAAAAGCTACTGTAAAGTCACTTACAAGTTTTGCAGCTTTGCCCCTTTTTAAAAACCATATATTACAATCTCTGTTCTATAAAACTGTCTAGTTGCCTCTTAAATCCCATTTATGTTGTTTCCTTTGATATCTTTACTTGGTAACTCATTTTCCACTTCGTCAGCAAGTTGCTTTGTTTCTACTTATTCTCCAACAGCATGCAGACTTCTGAATGTCTCTGTAATAAGAAACAACTTTCTTTTGTTCATCTTACTCTAAACTTTTCTCATTTTTCATTAACATTCAAAGATTTTATTCTATTTTCAGGTTTATTTACACCCATATCCCAGTAACATCCAGTACGCTGCCCTCCCCAGGGAAAAGGTGACTAGAAGCAAACAGCATCACTACAGACTTCTGGGTACCAGGATTGTCAACATCAGGGCAATTTAATACACGTATTATTAAAAGGTTTTGCCCTGTATAAGCACACACTTGTGCGTTCTATACATTTGTCACATAAAGTAATGTTCAGAGCAGGAGCTTTTCCTCTGTGACTATGATTTCCTAAGAACCGCTCTCTTTTTGGAGAACCTTATGAAGAGTATTTGAATGCTAATAAAAATAACAATAAAAAAGGACTCTGTTCTAATACAGAGAAACTTACGGGATAGATACTCATATTATTATAAGCATCTGTCCTACTGTTCAAGTCAGTCTCAGTTTAGCGAAACACTTCAGCACATTTCATTGAGCAGAAAGTCTTCTCCTTGAACTTAGAAGCTAAACAAATCCTGGCTGAGACCTACCACTAATTTCAGTGTCACCCAATGAAGACACCAAAGAACTCAGAAAAGTCAACAATTGTTGTTGACACAGTTGACACAGTCACAACATATATGGAATTTTCTGTACAAGGAATAAATTTACTGCAAAGGCCAATTTCAATACATTTGACTAATCATGTTTTATCTCCACCTATGGGATTTCATAAAAATGGAATTCATTACAATGTTTAGTTTTCTTACCTTCTTCAGTATCTGTGTTCTGTTTACTGCTGATAAATGTAGCTGCATATACCTTTTCACCTACGGTTATATTGTTGCTTTTAAGTGCTTTCACTGTTTGACTGACCTATAGGAAACCACAGAATGAAATGTCTGTATCAGTGTTGTTATGCACATGTTAATGCAGTGACAAAGCTCTTGTAATTTTGTTTCAAGCATATAAAACACTCAAGTTATGGGCTGTGGTGAAATTTAATATACATTTGTAATAACTAGCATATGAGCTCAAAGAACTCAAAAAAACTAGTATGTCTTTGAAGATGTTGCCTTGGCAATACAGCACCAGTTTTGGAGCACCCTAAGATGAGCCGAGTTACCCAGAGGCAACAGCCATGACTACACAGGTGAGAAATACACCTGGTTGTAGAACAGAGAATGGCTGAGCTCAGCTGGATTGCAAAGGCAGTCCTGGAGGAAATCAAAGATTAAGGACTTTACGAGGCACTGGATCTAAGAGAGATCTAAGAGAGAGGTAACTGGCAGAAGACATTTTCAACAACACAAACAGGTATCTGCTTAAATGCAAATATTCAGATACTCATTGCAAAGATATCCTATTCCTCATCATTGCAGAAAGGAGACCAGATTTTGTGCTTGCATTAACTAATTTAAGTGAGGAGGTTTCCTTGTATCATGTGATGCATACAATCTTTTTTACAAAATGGCATCATAATAGGGGCACAAGCATGTGCGTAAAAGGAGATTTACGTTCTTTATACCAAAATACAGATCACAATCAAGCTTTGCTATAACACTAGCTTATTTTCTGCATACTGTACAGAACTCCTGGATCAGGGTAAAAGCAACCATACCAGGACCATCCTGAGAGACTCTGCCAAAACTTCATGAGGAAACCCACTTGCAGAACAAAACCAAGGCATTTCTGTCCAGCTTTAATGCATGGCAGAATTTAAAAGCTGCAGTAGTCAAAGCTCTCCTCTAGCTCATCTGTGAGGTGGACAAAGCAAAAGACAAAGCCTCTCACCTTATGCAAAGCCTAACAACAGCGATAAGCTGAATGAGTTTCAGTTGCTTCTTGTGCCTCCCTCCACTCCATGAATCCCTTTTATGCTAGCATGTCAGAAAGAGAAATGTAACAAACTTTCAATTTCTCTAATATCTGATCACATTCACAAGTGCAACAACTTCACTGTTATGACTCTCCTTCCTACACAGGACATAAACCTTGAACTTAGGCACACCACATGGCTCAAAAGCAGATATGGACAAGTTAATAAACATTTTCATTTTAAACTTAAAGCAATTTTTAAAGCAAAAGAGAGACAGAATACCTTCTTCTTCAGCCACTTCAGTGTCTTCTCTTGGCTGTATTTGTGGAATTTCTGGCTGGCAATCTCTGAGAAAACATAAGTAAGGGTAAGAAAGTCATAACTGGTTTGAACTGCATTTTCAATACATTTAAAATCTTTTAAGTTGTAGATACAGCATGAAAGTTAATTTGCAGCTTGCACATGTTTGATATCAGGGCAGTAAATTTCAAAAATATTGGGAATGTGGAAAAATAAACAGACTGGGCTGATATGCACAAGTCTGAACACTTTGACAATTCTTTAATTAGGCCGCAACCAAGCCAAGCAGATGTTTTATTTATTTATGTGTAATCTTGGGCTGCCTGAATTCACTAAGACCCTTCTTGTAGTTTGCCAAACCTTCACTGGCATGTGTCTCCAAACTGGTCATTTTAAGTGCACAGTTCACAATATAAAATGTTGGTTCCACAACAGCTTTTAAAAAAAACAAAACCCAGAAGCCCACAAAACAAAAAACACCACAACATATTATCTTAAATCTACACTTACTGAATTCCAGCACCTAGTAAGGGGCCAGGACAGAGAGCCGGTTAGTGCAGATAAACCATTCACACTTCCAGTGAACTCTTTCCCTATCAGTTCTCCCTTCTCATTTCACAGTGTGACTAAAGCAAAAGTTTTACTTCTATTTTCCTTTTACATAGCTTAATATCATATAAAACAAAAATACAAATCCAAAAACAGTGAAACACACTCCTTGTGGGAGGAAGTACACGATTCATTTATGATTTACTGAGCAATATAAATTAACGATATAGGAATTTCAGAAAGTGTTTCCCCTGTGATGACTAGGGTATCATGAACACTTGCTAGTCACATGTGACTCAGCTATCTGGAGATATGCAAGTTCATGATGCTGAGGTAAAGAAAAAATTACAAAGGCTCATAGAAATTTCAGTATAAAAAAATCAGTATTAATTCACAGAAAGTTTCATTTTAGAAATGGAATAAAATGCCTAATAAGATTTCACAGGAAAGACTCCGTTTCTGTCTTTAACAGGTATTTCAGTAAATTTTAATCTCCTGTATACCGTGTTCCCATAAATACCTAGATCTGTTCCATGTCATTTACTGATCCAATATCATATTTCAATGCTCAGTTCATGAAATTTCCTTCTGCCCTTGCAAACAACAAGGTATTATTTATGATTACTTCATCATTTCTTTCTTTGGCTTTATCTCAGCTCTTTCAAATGGCATTCAAATAACCAACTATTATGCACTCTTTGTGTATGCATGGTAGGGAGTACAGAGAGCTTGAGGAAAGCTGTTTACAAGATAAAGTTTAAAAATATGTCAGCAGTTGTAGAAGATCACAATGCAAAAATTCTTCAGAGCAAAAAGGAAAAGACCGCCAATATACACTCTGATTCATGAAGATGATGAGCTGCAGGTAGAGTAATTAGCTGTGACATTGCTGGCTTCAGCCTTTAGGATTTAGAAGCTTCTAAGTGGCTCTATAAGAAGCAGAAAATGGGGAAGTCACTCTGGATACCCGAACCTGCTTCTCAAAGAGCTAACACAGTTTGGGTCCAAGTACAGTGAGTCTGATTCATGGATTCCTCTCCTACCTAAGGAAGTTTGAGGAAGGGACATTGCTCCAGCCATCATATCATGGAATCATAGAATAGTTAGGGTTGGAAAGGACCTTAAGATCATCAAGTTCCAACCCCCCTGCCGTGGGCAGGGACACCTCGCTCTAAACCATATCACCCAAGGCCTCGTCCAACCTGGCCTTTAACACTGCCAGGGATGGAGCATTCACGACCTCCTTGGGCAACCTATTCCAGTGCCTCACCACCCTAACAGGAAAGAATTTCCTCCTTATAGCCAATCTAAACTTCCCCTGTTTAACTTTTAACCCATTACCCCTTGTCCTATCACTACAGTCCCTAATGAAGAGTCCATCCCCAGCATCCCTAACTCATGCTGAAAAGTAATTCCAGTCCAGATTCCCAGGCAGACTCCCCCACAACAGCATGATTCAGAGTGACTCAGTTAGGCAAAGGAAACATAGAACTGTGAAGCCATTTTCATTAAAACATGTGAAAAATAATTACACTGAACCCTTCAGAGATCACTTTGTTTGAAAATATTTTGTGTGCTTGACAGTTTTGACTATTAAACTCTAGGAACTGACAATATTTGAGACCTCTGAAGAATTAAAGTGAGTTATGAAAGTCACAAACTGCTGACAAAAGGATTCAATATTGGAACGTGGATTTAACATGTGATGCACATTTGGTATTGGTGAGAGTTAGCGACTATGTTTGATAATGTGAGTATATATTGGAAAGCCTTTTGTTCCCTAATGTGTCTGGTGCCTATAAAACTGGTCTGAGACATCTGGAAAGATTGGGTTTGAGAAATACAGATGGAATATAAGTGGTTCTACAATTAAATAATATGTTCATGATCGGGTAATCGCTATGTAGACTTGGAAGTCTCCCTGATGTATTGTTGAGCAAACTGCCTAAAGCACATTTTAACATCCATTTTCTCAGTGTTTTCCATAACGCTGAAATTCATATGGCCCCTTTTTCCCTACCTTCTGGGATTACAAGCTTGGCAATATTACTTAGTTATTCTAATCAGGTAAGTTTTCTTGGCTCTTCATGTTAATCACATCAGACAAGATCACAGTACAGTTTTTGCCTTGCAAAATGAAACAAAGAGTAACATTCTAGAACTGGAATTCATAACCTTTTCTTCAACCTTCTCAACTGCATTTCACACCCGATGTTCAAATTTATTAGCAAACAACCTGCCTCACCCAGATTTAATGAGCTGTAACACACCCTTTCCCCAGCTACCAAACAGGTAACTACGAATTTAATCCAGCAAAATGAATTTTCAGTGCCCTTCAACACTGAGGCCAGGGAAGGTGGACTCTCTGCTAATTCAGTAAGTGTAAACTGCAAGTGCTCTAGGGTAAGAATTTGTTAGACAGATGTTATGTGCCTTAAGATTTAATTAAAAGTGAAACAAATACATTGTTAAGTTCTGCAAACAGAAAAGAGGGGCAGAAAACTCAACACACAAAAGATACTTTTTTTGCCCTAAAACCTTAATCCTTAAACAAGAAAGGCTACAAAGTGGGTAACAGGTCCCAGAGCTAGAAAAGAGTACCTTAAGTCATACTGGTACTTTTTACAGGCAATAAAAGACATAAGAATATGAAACACATAGAAGTGGATTGAACAGAAAGGTGACCAAATTTTACCTTACATTTCAAAACGAAAAACCAGGAAGTGAACATAACTTCCTTAGCAGTTAATATAATTTTCTGGGAAAATGACACAAACTTACAGGTATACATTATTTAAAATACTAATGCAAAAATCAAGCAGTAAAGCATTTTTACTACTGTCTAACAGAATACTGTTTTTCAGGGGATGATCTGATGGATAACAACTGCAAATACAGTTTCAGAATGGATACAGAGGTCAGGCCAAGATACAAGACCTTGTCTACAGCACTTATATATATATTTATGTATTATTTTTTTTACTTTGCTGTTATGAAGGGAATATAAATAAAGCTCAAAGGCAGCAGTGCTGTTTGGATGAAGTGCCCCTTCAGAAAAATAATCCAGACCTTGTCCTATATTCCTGTAGGATTCTTCTTAGTTTGACAGCCAAGAGGATCTGGCATAATTTTTCACCTTCTCAGATGGGTGCACAGATTAGTACTCCTTCTCTCACCCCTAGCTCCTTACAAGTTGTAGGGCACAGCAATTGCCTAAAAGCTTAATAATAGTTATTACTGGAAACACCACTTCATAAGAAGGCAAAAGCGGTTTTGCATTTCAGATGCATCTGTTTCAAGGAAGTCTTTTCTAAAGTCAGACCTTAACCAAAGAAAAAGACTCCTTGCTCCCAGTGATACTGAATGTAACTAAATGTTTTCTGAAGGTTCTTTTGGAAATGCAGGAGTATCACAATAGCACTTAATTCTGACTACCACAGTACCAGCAAGAATGTAGTAAGAGTCTTGCTACCCAGATTTCTTGCTTTCTTGTTAAAGTGACCATTTTCCATGGAAATATGTCCTGCCCTAAAGTTCAAATTGATTTTCTGAGGGAGGCAACTGCCCTGCATTATGATATGCACCATATCATACTGGAAATATTTAAACTTGTGCATCTAAATCTTTCAGGAAAAAAACACAGCACCCCCCTTATCAATGATGTAGATAGAAACAAAGAGGTCTGGTGTTTTACTTCTCAACAAGGTTTTCATTCTTCCATCACCTTTCTCAGCCACTTCCCAATTATCTGTGTGTTACCTAAATATTTCTTCTTATATATATGGAGGGCAGAGTGCTTCAAGAAAACAAATCCCTAATGATTCTGGTTTCCATTCTGTGTACTTCCAACTCCCTGCATAAGGGTCAGGCACCTTAGCTGTTTTGCACTCGGTGGTAAACTCCATGTTCTTAGACTCCTGTATTTCCTTCTGTAGACTTCCCATCTGTGAGTAGGGAAATTTTCATTCCCTATCAGGAAGTCAGCAAGCGTAAGGAGAATGGTCTTTAAAGGACTGAATATAAAAACTGAGCTCTTGCATCTTCCACAGATCTGCCAAGCTGCGAAAATTGCAGTGCTGCTTCCTCTTCCCTAGAAAGCATATACTGTCCTCAAAGACAATAAAAGCCACCATACCAAAGTGTATTCTGGGCAAAGGTTTAGGAACCTATGCACAGAACTGATACTTTGATGATTTTTTCCATTTAGGTTTTCTCTGACACACACACATTCCAATCAAGTTCTCCTTTTCACAGAATCATAGAATAGTTAGGGTTGAAAAGGACCTTAAGATCATCTAGTTCCAATCCCCCTGCCATGGGCAAGGACACCTCACACTAAATCATGCCACCCAAGGCTATGTCCAACCTGGTCTTGAATGCTGCCAGGGATGGAGCATTCACAGGCTCCCTTGGCAACCCATACCAGTGCCTCACCGCCCTCACAGTAAAGAATTTCTTCCTTATATCCAATCTAAACTTCTGTTTAAGTTTGAACCCGTTACCCCTTGTCCTATCACTACAGTCCCTAATGAAGAGTCCCTCCCCAGCATCCCTATAGGCCCCCTTCAGATACTGGAAGGCTGCTATGAGGTCTCCACACAGCCTTCTCTTCTCCAGGCTGAACAGCAACAACTTTCTCAGCCTATCCTCATATGGGAGGTGCTCCAGTCCCCTGATTATTCTCGTGGCCCTCCTCTGGACTTGTTCCACCAGATCCATGTCCTTTTTATGTTGAGGACACCAGAACTGAACACAATACCATAGGTGAGGTCTCACGAGAGGAGAGCAGAGGGGGCAGGATCACCTCCTTCGACCTTCTGGTCACGCTCCTTTTGATGCAGCCCAGGATATGGCTGGCCTTCTGGGATGCGAGTGCACACTGCCGGCTCATGTGCACTTTCTCATCGACCAGCACCCCCAAGTCCTTCAAGTCCTTCTCCACAGGGCAGACGACTAAAAAATTAATTTTTTTTAACTTTAAAAAAAATTAAGTCTCTTTTCTCAGCAACTTTTTCCTACTCATCATTTTAACGCCTTGCAAGAAAGGGAGAAGAAAGCTAACTGGACAATGGTTAACTTCTTCCACACCAGACCATCCAACACTTTGTAAAGAATTGAGAGAGCTGTAAAACTTTCACCAAAAGGCAAAGAAACTTCATAACACATATGTTATGTCAAGAAGAGAACTCTGATCAGTTTACCATTTTTATGACATGAATTGCACAAGTATTGTGCACCAAGACTGCACAAGTATTTTAGTTACATCAGATAATCTGAGATCCACACATTACTATTCACAATACTGCAATGACAATTTCTAAGCTTAAAAGTCTGTTCTTAAAGTACAGCTGCATTCAGCACTCTGGGTGTCTGGTAAAGCAAAACCGAGTATTTAAATCTATCTTGTAATGAAGTGACACTAACAAATGCAGTCTTTTTTAATTTGCCCCAGCCCCTTTTTTTCACCTTTTACTTCTGTTATATGATGTATGTATTGTTTAACATCTGTACACTTCAGCAGCAATGGGCAGTTAGGATAGTCTGCGTCTAGCACAACTTGATCGAGTGGCTGAAACTTTCCTTGTTGCTGAAAATACATCAAAGGGATTATAAAGCGTTATTATAATGTTAAGACACATATACACACTACACTTATATAGAAATACACATGCATGCAATGGCCATGGCATTAAAACGGATTTAAAGAAGATCGTATTTTGAATGGTAACACATGACACAGTCAGAAACTGATTACAAAGCAAGCTATAAATATTTATTTCAAACCAGTAAATACCTGCAAAATGCTGAACTCTTCAATTACTGCACTTAAAAGACCAAATTTCAAACAACACGGGGAGAAACTAATGTGAAGTACAGCGGGATTTTTTGGAAGATGACACAAGACACAGTAGTCAGTGTGTGCCAACAGCATTTTAGATCAAAACCTGTTGGATTAAATCCAGTGTCATAACTTCCATTCAAATTTTGCTTTTCCTTCCATAAAGATAATTCTCAAAGGAGCAGGGCAGCTTCTGGAACACAGTATTAACCTTTCACCTCTGCGAAGTCAATTCCAGTTTGGCCAGAGTATGTATATAAAATGATTTTGGCACAACTTAAATAGCTCCACACATGACAGAATCATCAAACAAATTCTGCCGTTGCCAAACAATGCATAATCATTCAGCACTGTTTGGCACAACTGGCAGCCTTCCCTTTGGAAAGATCCTTTAGCGCATCAGTACAAAGACTCAGTGAGCTCTCCATCCTTAGAGAGTGCGTGGTCTCAGGAGCCAAAGCTGAAGTCATTGTACTGGTCAGCATGAAAAAAAACCCACTTGGGTATACTGCTTTCACTATTAATCCTCTTGCTGGACAGTCAGAGGCTTAATAAAAGTAACCATCCACTGTTAAATCACAATAAAAACAAGCAAAAAACCCCAAACAAACTAACAATAACAACAAAGAAACAAAAACCAAAACACAACAGAAAGTATTCTAAGTTTTTTTCTCCTGAAAAAGGCAAAATAACAATGGCAAAAAGAATATTGTAAGATGCAGAAATAAAGCTGGAATAGACTGTTTCCTATAGATAACTTACCTGCACAAACCTGCTTGTGTCCCAAAACAAGACAGCCACATTTACATTGTGCAGTAGAAGAGAATACTAAGCCAAGAAAACCTGCTGGATAGGAGATGGCTCTGCTCAAAAGACACGTTAAGCAACCCTTTGTCACACTATCAAAACCAAAGAATGGTGCAAAGGATGATCCTAACACACCCAGTGGGTACTTTGACACGCACTAGTTCAAGCCAAGTGACTGTGCTGCATTCAAGTTGGTCCTGCATGAAGTATCTACAACACAATCCTCAAGACTTCACTTTGCTAAAAAACTAAAAGACTAACTTAGGCAGGGCACTGTAGGAATGCATTTGCCCTGATTTAGGATTCAGAACAGCTCTATGGCATTTATCTGGCATCGTGCCCGGCCTAGAAAACCAGAAAAACCTAGAAAACAATGTACCAAGAAAGTAAAGGGCGGTACACAATGCTTCTCAGGTACAGAAACAGTGGCAGTTGCTCTTTATTCAGGCTACCTCAACACCTTACCACACAGACAGAGGGCATTTACTGTTTCCCTAATTTAGAGTTTGGTATAAAGCTTTAAATGGATGCTGAATTTGAAGACAGCAGAGTGCCTAGAGAATGAGCTGAACTATTCCTTGTGAAATGACTTCTTCTGATGGGCCATCCTGAAGAAGGAACAGACTACAAAAAAGCAGAATATATTTGCACATCCTATATCATAAATAATTTAAAAATAATAACAGAACAATAGGTTACTATTACAAATGTGTAGTAGGACTTTATTTCTTCACCATATAAAAATTTTCTCTTGCATTCTCCACTTGCAGTCTAAAGCACAAAACAACAAACAACCTCACAGGAAAAGCTATTAGAGCAAAAAACTCTTAGGATGCATAGAGTGAATTTACTGCTTCTATGAAAAAGAAAAAACCCAAGGATCAACATCTATATTTTACTTTATGTCCTTTTTACCACTCGCAGATTATAAGCAATAAATCAATAATTTTGCCTATGCCTTTTGATAAATTTCAGAAATTTAAGGAGGTTTTGCCATACCCATGATAAATCCAATTAAGCCATTTATCAATTATGCAACTTTCGGACACTTGAGCATCCTGTTGCTGATAACAGCATCTCTACAAACACTGCTTCTGAGAAAGCAGTGTTTCCTTTTAAGTTCAAACTGACACAGAAATGTTTCTTCTTTTTCTCCATAGCATCCAAATTCTTCTTTCTTTTTCCCTTCTTTCCCCAAATGACTCATCTACTGATGCCTAAGAAAGGGCACTGGTTTGTTTTACTCTGATGATACCTCATAATTTAAAATTCAGTAGTTCTGGGATAGGCTCTCACAGAAGGGCAAAAGAGATTCTCTGTTTCTCTTAAAAATGAGATGATCAGAACTTGCTGATATTGGAAGCTGACTCCTGAAATATACTTTACTGACCAAAAAAAACTTCATACAAATAAAAAAAAAAAATTCTAGAGTGGTTATCTCTGCTTTAAATGCAAATTAAATTCCCATTATTACGGAAACCCCTCTTTGTAAAATTAACACAACTTCTGCAGAAGATGAAGACAGAAATAATGTTTTCTCCTAAGAATTCCAGTGCAAAAATAAAGCAGACTTACCTCCTTTTCTGCCTTTATGAGGTAGTAAAGTATCAGAAATAAGGGGTCCATCGGTGTAACAAACAGCAGGCGCCCATCTAAGTGACACATACGTAAGAGTAAGCTTAGTACCAAAAAGCTTAATATATTAACTTTTTTTTTTTTTTAGTGTCTTTTTTCGGGAGTGTGGACAAGAAGAAAAGATTTTGTTGGGTTTTTTTAGTATTCCAGTATTTTAATAAATGGGCAGGAAAACAGTCTGCAATTTTACACTAAAAATACAGAGAGAACTCAATCCTCAACCCTGGCAAACCAAAGCACAAGCTCCACTACAGGTTTGCTGGCTTAAAGCACTCGTTAGTTTTGCCTTTTTCTTGACTATATTAAAACCAGCAGAATTGAAGCTGCCCTCTATTGGGAAATTTGGGTGTAACAGAAACTTGTTTTTAGATACCAGATATATACAGTATAGTATACTCCACCTCAAACTCTGGGCAAGGCAACACTGTGCTGGCTGAAAAGGTAGGCAGGGCAAAAAAGAATTTCAAGAGCTAGTTAAGTTAGATATGCCTCTCATCTGTATGGGGAGAATCTGCATGCAATCTCCTAATAGAAGAAAATAAACTTAAATAAATCAGAAAATATGGCTCAGTATATTGTATTCAAAGTTACACACAGAGGAAGAAGTTGGGTTTCCCACTGCAACAGACACCTCAGCCCATCTGGACCTCACTGTAGGACAACAGCTTAGCCAGGCTTTTTGTATAATTGTGGATAATTGGAAACAATGTAACATCAAGGAAATTCACTAATAAGACCAAATAATTGATGACAATTTGACATTAATTAGCAAACCAAAAGCAAGTAAATGTGTTCTTTTTGTTTGTTTTAAATCACATGATTAAGATAATCAAAGAAAAGTAAATTCTCTTGCAATAGCCCTAAAACTAACAAAAGATGGTAGGAAGAACATGGTCTGGACAAAGCTAACACCTGCATTGCTAATATGATACATTGCATGAGGCAAAGTAAGCATTAGCAAAGCAAGCATCAGGACTACTTACAGAAACACCAGTTGCTTTCTCAAAGCTTTCATTTAAATGCTTTCCACTGTACCTTTAGGAAGAGGTATTTCTATTTGTTCTAAACAGTTCGGACTCACTATAGGTGTACGAAGACCTCTGGCCCTCTCTGCACATGACAATTTGCAAACACTCAGTTTTTTTATGTAGTTCTTCCCCTGACTGTTTCAGAGATGCAGCAGCCTGACATTCATGAACAATTTCCTCCTCCCTGTATCTTTTAAAGAAAACTCTGGTGATGATTCCTTAAGGCAACTGTTTCCCAAGGGCCAAAACAGAGGTTAGAAAGGGAGGGGGAGAATACAATGTGGACGTAATTGGGAGCAGGGAGCAGACCCAGTCTTTTGGCTCACACAGATGAAGCAAAGAAAAGCTCACAGACATACCGCTTGCATTGCTATATGTGCCTGCAGAGGATGTTTAAAAGTTAACACACGCTTTGGGATATTACAGTTAAGGAAGGCATATGTCTGGTGGGGTTGCTTTTATTTATCACTAAAAATGGTTCTAGTTAAAAAGGATAAAATAAATATACTTTCATCTCCTGAATTAATATTTATTGCTTGGTCTATGGACATGCCGTCAGGGAAAGACACTGCTGCAATGGCATCCTTACTGATAAAGGATTGTTAAAGCTGTCACAAACAGTTATGCAAGTTTCCTCTGCATTTTCAGAAAGGCAAGGTAGGATCAGAGAATGACTAGGATAAAAGAGCTCACTTCAGATCAAACGCCAAAATGGCACCTTTAAACAGCAAACCTATCTTGAGATACCAGCACTCACACAGGGGACTACAGAGGTAACTAAAAGAAAGCAAGACCATACATTCCAATGATTGGAGCTCTAATACACCACTCAGAGCTAGGGCGCTCCAGCCCTTTTTTCCCCCCTGTAGGATAACACATATTTTACTTACAGAGAGGACTTCCTGGTGTGATTGACAAGGCAAGCTAAGTATTTTATGGCACTTCAGTTTAAATATAATTGAATGACCTCCCCTCCGCCCCAAAGACAAATGAACATCTGTCTAATTGAGGCTGCCAAAGGCAGCCTTTTAAAGAGAGACCACAAAGCTCTCAGCCCTGGTTAAATCCAGATGGCAAATGAGTGTGTCAGAAGGTGGGGATGTGATGCAACATGCCCCAAACAACTCAGAAAAACACCTGTAAATTTACTAGGAGAGGAAAGGCCTTTGTATGAACATTAGTTACAGTTGGGAGAAGGATACATTATATTTCTCACCTTGTTGAACAGTCTGACCTATAAACCAGGAACGATTTTCCTCATGAAAAGCTTTTACTTCAAACAGCTGCTGTGCACCACTATTGAATAAGTAAAGGGTTGCTTCCCCTGTTGAAAAGAAATCTGGTTTGTGTTTGTAAGCTTTCACAAAAATCAAAAGAATACCCAGTATGTCTGAAGAATGTGCCTTATATACATACAGACACTCAAACATACACACATTCTATATAAACTCACTACAAAGGAAGCTCAGACAAAGAAAACTATTATATACAGATGTTCATTTACTAGCTTTATAAACCAAACTGAATTTGAATCAATAAATAAGATGTGTGAATAGTTCATCTTACAACACAAGGCCTTTGATCCAAACACAAATCAAAATCACTCAAAAAATCAGTTTTTGTCCCCGTACTGAAGGGGAAAGGTGGAAACCAAGAAAATACTTGCTCCCTCCATTATGTTTGTCTTCAAGATATCAGGCTCTGGGTTAGGGTAACAAAAGCCTCAAACATTAAATTGGCAATTTTAAATCTATTTTTTGTGTGCATCAAAATGGACTGCAAATGGCTCAGTATAGGCAGACAAATAAGCTGAATTAGGAAGCTAAAAGTTGCTTCGAAATGCCCATCAGAATCTTGATACTTCGGAAAGCAAAGCTTTATTTTAGGCCACCCTATAGCACAGCTCTGCCATTTCACATTAGTTTTGGGTTATAATAAAAATGGTGACAAATATGTTGTGAACAGGATTGTATTTTCCATATTTAAACCAGAAAGCTGTCAGAACTACAGAAAGGGCCACTGAAATTTGGTCAGCTGAGTCTGTGGCTGGACTGGTCCTGCCTTGATTGCCAATTCAACTTCAAGAACAACTACAACATGGCAGTCCTGCTCAAAACACATAAATTGCAAAGCTGCACTGACTTGCTGGCTCTCAAATGTCTCAGTGTAAAGCCCCTGCAAGCTGACGCCAGCACTGCTGTTCTCAGTCTGCAGAGATCCCTAAGGGTGGAGGGATGTCAGCTAAATTGGGCAAACACATTTCTTCCCCAAAATGACTGATAATGCTTTTTCCCCCCCTTTATCCGAAAGACTGACCAGATGTTTAACCTCACCTAAGGAGATAATTTTAATTCTCATTTTCTTTTAGTTCTCTCTTTCTTTCAGTTCTAATTTTTCTTTTGGGGAGGAGAGAAGTGAAAACTAGATAAGAGGGGGAGCACAGATTTCAATCATTACCACATGCTTCTCAGCAAGGGTCTACACCATAGTTTGATCAGTACCAGACATCAAACTACTCACAGAAGAGCTCACTGAACAACTTAAAGAGTCCTACCAGTGAGCACGCTAGCCAAATTCAGTGATGAGCTACAAAATTTTAGGAAAGGGACTAATATTGCCCAACTCCAGATTCTTAATTTACTTTCTTTTGTTAAAAGGACAGTCACCACAAGTTCCCAGCAGTGCCATTAGACAGAAACTCCAGGGGACGGAGAGAAAACCTAGGCAGCTTTGCTCAGAACTTTACCACTTCAGTGAGTTGCCTAAGTTTTGTGGTATTGTTATTTCCTTTCTTTTAGTTCAGTGCTTTTAAAAATGCATCTTGTGCTACATCGGAAGTGCAAGCTAAACCCTAGTTTATAGTCTTTGTACGGGATAAAAATTTCGTCCTTTTTACCTGTCTAAAAAAAGGACCATGCATACTTTTATTTAATAAGTGGTTCACATGAATTCTACTGTGCCGAGTCCTTCAGTGCGCATTTTTACAATATCTGGCATCAACAATTCATCTGTTAGACCCAAATGTAAGGAAAATACATTAATAGGGTGTTCTCAGTCCTTCCATTTTCAGACCCTATACTTATAATGGTCTACATAACTGAAAGTTTTTGCAGGTCTATAAATAAGCTCCTGTAAATTCTAAAGGAACACACCCAGACAATTATACTTTAGGTTTTCCCCAGAAACCTTTCCCAAGATCTCTGATTCCACAAGGTAAATAGATTTCTTCTTCCACAGAGAAAAGCAAATTAATATCCACGCTTTTAAAAACACAGCAGATTAGAGAGCCAATGTAACACAGCAGGTGGAAAATATCTGTGGCTATATATTCCCACTGCAAATCTAAGCATTCAAAAAGCAGGTATCATGATGAATAAGTGAGTTCACATTTTATATCTATTGTTTTTAATTATTTTCCCTTTAAGAACAAGTAGCAGTTACTCTACTGAAACATTAAAATGTACCTGAAGACTTTAGTTAAACATATATAAATAGAAGCAGCTAATTTCAAAACAAAACCCTACAACTTAAGTCTACAGAAAACAAACGAGCTTATGAAAAGGAAAAAAAAATCAAACAACACGAAGTGTGGTTTTCAAATAAAGTATTTTAACCCTACCAAAAGCTTACTGCAAGTTTCTGTTGCAATGCCTCATACTCCAATTATTACACTACCCAGTAATAACAAATCCTTGACAAAAAGAACCATTTGTATAGCAGAAAATAGCTGAGGGATGGTAGTGTCATTATATTGTCTGCATTTGCTGTTTTTTCCAATGTATTTTGAATTCAAAGTGTCTCATCATCTATTAACAAGAAAAGAGACACCACCACTTGGACCAGGGCAAGAAGAAAATTTGATTTTAAAATGAAAAGACTCAAAAAACTTGGTAACTATAATTGAATCAGATCTTGTCACTCTGCCTATTTATTTTACAGCATAAGATGAATGCTATGAAACCTAGATTTGGATTTTAAAAAAGCCTAGGCTTAACACCCAACACTGTAAGCTCCCCAAAACTAATGCACTTAAAAACAGAACTTACATTACACCTCTTTCTTTGTGCTGCCAATATTCCTGATAAATAAACAGTTCAACCAATTGAAATTATAAAAGAAATCCTAAATGTTTGCATATCATTAACTATCTAGCATCACCAGCAGTGTTTTTTATGCTTAAGACTTATACTATCATCATTATTTCAGCTTGCAGAATATGAACCTTTTGGTGGTGGAGGGAATCAAACAGAACATTAACAGGCTCATGTAACAATTGCAAAACTTGCCTGTGCTTGGATTGGGCAGCTTTGTAAACAAAGGTTCGCTGTCAGGTGTCTCAGGAAAGTCAGTAGCAGCCTCTGGAGGGAGAGAGGAAAAAGTTATGACCTCGTAAATGAAGAAGCATTTCACATGCTGCCATGCTTCTCCAAGGCATTCAGAATCAAATGGACTGACACTTTTTGAAAACTCATGTATTTTCTGCCTGAAAGTTACAAGCTTCAGCCCAAATTCATCCTACCTGATCAAGACACCTAAATTATGATTCCAGACTTCCTGGCACTCTCTATCTGCCACAGGAAAAATATGCACCTGGGGATGATTTAGATTTTGAAAACCACTTCCCCCTAGAGAGCCTCAGGCAAGAGAGGCCCCAAGTTTGATATCTCAGTTAAGTGAGATGAACTGATACGTTGCCCTGTTTAGGCACAAAGACAGTGGGAATGCTTTGGTAAGTTAGGCCAAGCACAGCATGGACACTAAAAGGTTAAAAGTGCAAAAAGTAAAGTATTCATCAGAAGAAATGGTGGTCCTCTAAAGCTTTCAAGAAGCCCAATTATGCAGGAATTCGGGTCAGGAATTGTCTGAGTGGTTGTTACTAAATATGCACACTTGTTTATCTGTTATATATAATCTTGAAAAATAGAGTGCATTTAACTCCCTCCAGAGGAAAAAGAAGCTGAGGGAATACAGCACCTCTGTCTTAAGCCTCTGACAGTTGCTCTCCTTTCTGTGTCTTTAACCAAAACAAAAAAACAAAAAAACAAAAAAAACCAAAACCAAACCCAAAAACCAGACAAAAAACAGAACCACGAAGTACTGTGAAAATAAAAAAAAAAAAATAAAAACTAGAAAGGAAACAGCTCCCACAAGGATGCTGAGTCAAGTCTGAGAAAACATCTATAAGGATCCCCAGTTAATTATATTCTGTCCAAGTTCTCTTTTAGGGGAATTCTAACTTATGTTTATGAAAACAACTTCCCACATCTGAATGAAGAGCAACTTGACAGCATCACCCTTCTTAGCTTGCACTGCCAGTTCTGTCCTGGTTCCTTTCATATACGCATTCATCAGAGCAAGGAAAATTACTAAAGCATTTCACATACATAACCAGTATCCAGACCCCAGAGAATGGACTGACAGAGATCAGACTGATATTCACTGCTGAGGAAAGCAGAGAGAGGTGGCTGAGGTGAGCTGCACAGATATTCACAAGGGAGGCCACTGGAAGGACAGAAGTGCCACATCTTTGTCCTTCACCTTTCAATAGCATCCAGGAGGTTTGTGGAGAGGGAGATAGCACAGTTCTTGTCTATGGAAAACAGGGAAGTAGGAACCTCAAGTACACCAAAAATAGGTGTCCTCCACTCTGGCTGAAAGCCTTTCCCCAGCACACCTAGAAAGGGCAGGTGGACTTCTCACAGGCTGTTCACTGGCACCTCGGTGGAAAAAAAAAATTAAAGTCCTGAAAAACCCCCATGTTTCACATCCACTCCTGGTTATTCAGTTGTGCCACAAACATAAATCGCCCAGATGAAAACATAAGCAGGGCTTAAAAAGCAAATGTGCTTTGTGATAAAGTGTTGGAGGACAACAGCTCTCAGAGAGATTTGGAGAATTTACAGTCATTTTCTTCCCCAAAATTTTTAGCAGAGTCTTCAGGTGGCTTGAAAAAGTGCTTTAAAATGTTTCAATATAAGTTGAGGGGTTTTAATGGAAAAAGTCCATATTTTCTAACCAGACTTGCTTCATATGATGATACATAAACACACACGGTTGTCAAGCTACATTTGCCCTGGCAAAGGCGAACTTCAAATTTCTAGAGCTGTGTATATTTCAATTCTTGACCACAGTTTAACATCAGTTTATTTTTTTGTTACATTTTAAAGCACTACAGTGATTAATGACAGTGAAAGAAACACACTGCATGTGCTTACTTTGATGTGTTTCACATGAACATGTTAAAATATACACACTAAATGTGAGTTTCAAAATTTAAAACAAAACGCAAAAAAAAACCGAAAAACCCAAAGGAACTTTTAATGCTCACTTGCTCTGCTTTCTTTATGCAGATTTATGAACAGTGGGAATGAGTCCAGCTGAGTCCTAAGTTGCATCCTGTATAACATGAACAACTAAGTAGACAATCCTTCCTAATGTAGCTGTTTTTAATGAAGTTCACATCTTTACTTAGCTGATCTCCGCTTTTCCTAACTTTCTAGTAACACACTGGATTTATCCATCCCCACCAAGCCTGGGAGACACCTGCACACATGGAGCACTGTGTAACAAACCCAATGGATACAGTGCCCCATCTCTTCCTCATCAATCCTCTATCTTCCCAGCCCAGATAACCAACCACTCTCCAGCACCACGGCCTGCCCTGTATTAGCCCAGCATCAGTACCCTCTGCTCTGCCTCTTTGTATACGCAGCCTGGCCCTGCAGCTGCCTTGGCTCAGCCAGTAGCAATTCCTCACATGAAGAGGAGCACACCTCTGCCCATTTAGTTCTTTGGTCCTCCCCAACCTCCATGGGGTTCATCACTGCACAGAGGACAGCAGTGACCATACCTTAATGAAAGTCTGAGTTGCAGCCTTCAGTCCCGGTATCTCCTGCTGACAGGATCATAGCATATGTCACATTCTCCACACAGCCACCACAAAACACGGTTTACCAGAAGGGGCACATGCACAAGAAGTGGACAAAGGCAAAAGTGGTCTCTTTGAGTTTCTTTCACCTTCACTTTCCTCAAAATGTAGGCAATACCTCACTACATTTCCAGGAGCATCTGAAGTATATTTTTATTACAGATTGGCTCTACTAGATGACAAGCTGGCAGATAAAGAGAGGAAACTGGGAGAATACCTGCTTGGAAAACTGCATGCAATATTAACACAGCCTTAAGGGCAAAAAAGGCCCTAATTATCTGAATTTAAACACTTCATGACTAGGAAAAAGCTGCACCAGGGATTTTTGAAGTTAGGTGTCCACAACTAACTTGTGTGTGCTCTGGCCTTTAGCCAGGAAAGGTAACTGGATTTCTTTAATATCATTACATTTATCAGTCCCTGTATCTGGGCAAGGATTTCTCCTAGCTAAGTAAATACAGACTTCTTAAAAAGCAGTATTGTAGCAGTTTGCTAGCAAAACTAAGAGCTAAACTACCAAAAGTCTTGCAGTTTACAGCTGCAGGTTACATACAGTGAGTACAGGTCAGTTTACTAACAGATGTGCCAGTATGGTATGCTATTATCCTAGGAAAACATACACTACAAGGATACAAAAACTGACACAGGGTACAGAGAGGCTAAATTAATTCTGTCCCAAGGAGGCATCTCAATTTGCAAGCCACCCTCTAAACTGCCAGGGAAGACAGTTGACAGGCACTTCCAGGGGGCACCCAAACCCGCCTAAATCCTAAGCCCACCTGTATTATCCCCTGCATGCAAGTACATGCCTCCATCTCCATTGAACTTACACACACCTCCAGCAAGACAGAATGAATCCAGATATAGTACCACTGTGGCTGTACCAGAAGACAAAGTTCTGAGGACAGTTAAATGCCAACACTGACCTGATTAAGTGTGTCTACTTGCTTAAGTCTACTGTTCATTTACTGTTAACCAAATCATGCAAAGTCCATCTAAAAATGTACATGATACATCCATCAGTTGTACTGGACTCTATGGACAGAAACTCAGAATCCTGAAGCTGAGCAAAAGAGACTATAAAAGCTTGAACATAGCTTTCCATTACAGAAAAGGAGAAAAGCCTATCGCATTTCGTGGAGGTCAGACATACAACAAGGCAAATTCTATAAAATATATAAACAGAGCAAAGTGAAAATGAACCAGCTGTCAAAGGATTTCTGGCAATAATTACTTCCACAAAGGATAGATACGAGGCACTAATGAATCTGGCTATTTAGAAAAAAATGTACAGCAATATGAATAAATTGGAAAAGAATATCAAAACTCCCGCTAAGATCTATGAAACTGTTAAGGATGCAAAGACTATTCACGTGTTTTGGTGGGGATTTTGGGGGGGGTTGGTTTGGGGTTTTTTTTAGTAGTTTATAGAATACTATATATAACAGACTAATATCAAGTTATATGGAATTCCCACGCAAAAAGCTGCCAGCCAAGCAAGCAAAACGACTGTAAATATCTGTCAATTGCGTAAGAGGAGGAAACCCTCCGAGATCACAAATTTCCCTACCACCATTGCCCTGCAAAAAACAGGATTATTTAAGTCTGGAAATATAAAGTTAAGATTTCATTTAAAAACAGATATTAAACTATACGTCACCTACACAAGTCTTTTCCATTCCCTTCTTAAGTTCCAACCATGCACGAAAGGTGTGTCAGACAGAGACGTTATGATGGAGCCTACTGAATGGACTTTTTATGGAAGACAAACTCTGTAGCCTAAGGGTAAGATACGCTAAATCAAATAATCATTTTATTTAGGTTCTTTTTACAATCAGTCAACCCTAAAGTAAATGGTTTTAACTCAGTGCATGTGTCCTCTGTCCTGCAGCATGCCCTGAAAAAAGTCCAGTGAAAATTAATAAATCCAGTACTTTGTAGCACCCAAACTTCTGAAAACTTCTGTAAGCTAAAAGTTTATTAACTATAAGCATAATGAATGAATTCAGGTATGCATGGACTGAGGGCACTGTTTTGTGAATGGCTTCACATGACCAAAGATCACAGGTCATTGAAAAGCTCAGTCCAGAGGTCCAACCTCTGTTCACTCCCCTGTTGTACATCCCTGCTCCTTTGTTTCCATTAAAACTAGCATCTCATGACCACATAGCAAGTCAGCTCAGTTCACTGATCCAGCTGAGAAATAACCAGTCACAAAAAAAAAGTATGGATTTTCACCTAGATCAGTAAGCTCTTCTCACTCACCATAGGGTTACATGACAAGTGCTCCTACATCTGGGCTGTGTGGTTCAGTTGATACGCTGGAGGGAAGGAATGCCATCCAGAGGGGCCCTGACATGCTTGTGAGGTGGGCTGATGCCAACCTCATGAAGTTTAACCATGCCAAGTGCAAGGTCCTACACCTGGGTG